CCTCTAGTAATATATTTACTGAGAAAAATGTTGACGTGTTCAATACTTATTTTACCGGCTGTATACATATGGATCTAACTGGCAGTTTAGGAATCTGACCTTATAACCCTGGATGTCTCCATTCTGGGCATCTACAGGTGGAGGGTCCCACATCACGTCCAGCTGGTTGGCTGTTGCAGACTGAATGACAACATTCTGTGGGGGGGCCGTTGGTACTGTCACAGCCAGGGACAAAACAACAAAAACATGTTATTTTAAAGCAATCCTATTCTGAAGCTTCTAAACTGCAGTTTCTGTGTAGACAATTCCATTATTGATAATATTAAAAACAAGTGACCAACACAAAGTGTCTGTGTGAGAATAGATGTTTAGATTGAGATCTTGTGTTTGAATTTGAAAGATGGGCAGTAAACTTACAGAGTTGCTTWTAAATTCTACAGAAATATAACACTGCAGCTTAAAGGAGCGAAGTCCTAATGAAGATCATTCATACTTATAACGAGACTAAATTAAATCACTTCAACTCAGAAGTTGAAAATCCTCRAACTTTTGTGCTTAATTATGGTAAAAAAGTGACTGAAATAAGCTGCACACAAACCTGCTTCTCCAACGAACACCTCCTGGGGCGGGCTGCTTGGCCCCTCGCCTACAGCGTTGTACARACTCATGTGTATCTCGTAGCGTTTATGCTTACTTAATTCTGCAGCAGAGGAAAACAAATAAACTTTAAATTTGTGATTGTGTTTCATCGGGAGCGTGTCACTCTACACATATTCACTTCTACCAGGTGTCAATTAGTTAAAATCGGTAAAAGAAAAAAGAAACGCTCAATGAATTCCCACCCACACACCATACTGTTACAAAGACGTACACCAGAATTTTCTGCTGTATGTAATTTTGCTTAAGAAAGTTGTGTTTTGGCTTCAAATACCTACAGATTCTCTAATTATAGAGAGGCAGTTTGASAGTACAGGAAAAGTATGTGGCCATCTGCTTTTGCAGTACTTTTCCAAGTCGACGGAAATTTGCAAACCAACAAGTATGCCGGGCTACTCGGGCTTGCATACTCAGAGCTGTTTACAAACTCTCCACTTGCCTCAGTAGAAGTGTTTGTTCTGATGCAAAGCAGCCAAAAGTTGTCTTAATTTGCTTAAAACTCTGTGTTCTCTTGATCACTATTCGCTGGCGCAGGAAATATAATGAGATCCAAAAGTAAACACTGATTTGAAATCGTATTTGTTTGGGATTGAAATCCTTGTGTGTGTTTGTGCACGTCTCCGCAATACGGAGAGGAAAACTTACTTTCCAACTCGTAGTGAGTGAGCGCAGGATCGCTCAGGTTCCGAATGCTGTAGGGGGCTGCAGAAAGAGAGGGGGGAAAAGGGAATTAAAGAACTAGAAGMAGTTGATAAAGAGACACTTGGATCATGTTTCAAACTCCAATACTTTCTCTGTTGAAAAAAATAAAAGGCAGAGCTATAGTCACAATAACCCTACACAATCACCGTGATCATGGCTCTGAATTAGCCTCCGAATGACTCGACAAGAGTCAAATTACAGGCCGCGTCGCACAGAGTGGTGGAAACAGAGCGGCTCCTGAGTAAACCTAATAATAGCCTGCGGCTGATAACCACTGATCACAAGATGAAATGTTTTGCTGTGAAGTGTCAAGACCAGCGGGGAGATCTTGGCAACAGAACGGGCCTGTGTGACAGTTTGCCTCTAATGGAAATAATGGTGCTGCTGACATGGGAATAATCAACCGTGACAGAGTCTTATAATTATGTGTTACCGGAGTAAAGTGTGGAAACTGCACATTTCTTTCATTATCGTTTTGCTGATATTATTTTCTTTCATGTAAAATGTCTGATTCTTCTTAGCAGTCCGTTGTGATTCTTTAAGTTGTGCTTTTCAAAGGGGTTTTCTAAATAGAAATGTGAGCGCGTGAAACGCTTTTGCGGTCGTATTTATCGAAGCAGGTGGTCCTGTAAGAGTGTTTTATTGTGTTAGTAGTAGTTTTGCCCTCACCATTCAGCTCGGCCCACGTCGACAGACTGTTGAACGTGTGAATGTAGCCGCGGAGACGATCGTACAGCAGCTCCCGGTAGCGAATCCGAAAGCCCAGTAAGATCCCATTGATCTTCTCCTCAGAAGGCYGCTATGAGAAGAAAAATGCAGAGTTAGCTGATCCCAAAGCCCCCAAAAGAGTGTTTAAATAGCTGATTTTACAGGAAAATATCGGCTAATCATTCTGCTATTTTGTCTTTAAATCAATGAAGAGTATGGGGTGCCGTTTGTAAAATTACTCAGTCAAAAATTACCACCAATATTTTTGTTTTATTTAGTTTTTTATAAGAAAAAAAGAACAGATTCATTTTTCAAAGTCAGTTTTTCACCATATGATTCATACATTTATAAATGTCAGTTATTAAACTAAATATTTAACTTGGTAGCTAAATATTCAAGTTGCTAGCTAAATAGTTAAGTTGCAACCTAAATATTTAGGTAGCTAACTAAATATTTAAGTTAAATATTTACGTGGCTAGATAAATATTTAACTTGCAACCTAAATATTTAGGTAGCTAGCTAAATATTTAAGTTGCAACCTAAATATTTAGGTAGCTATCAAAATATTTAAGTTGCAAGCTAAACATTTAGCTCAAAACTAAATATTTAAGTCACAAGTTAAATATTTAGCTTGTTAARTAAARATTTAATTTTTAAGTTAAATATTTAGTTTATAAACTATGACATTTATAAATGTACTAATCATATGTGAAAAACTGACTTTGAAAAATAAATCTGTTTTCTTATAAAAGGCTAAATAAAAATAAAATATTGGTGGCAATTTTTGACTGTAACTTTACAAACGGCACCCCATAGAAAAGACCCTTCTATGAAAGGGATAGTCTGGTGTTTTTTTAAATGATCTGACAAATAGTTGTAAATAGAGTAAGGACAAAAGGTTATGCTAATAATAAAGTATATTCTTTCAAACTAGTAGGACATTTTTGAGGAAGAGTTGTTTTTTAAACAATGGGTTAGCAGTTAGCCTAGCCTGGATACTTCTCTTCTTTTCTCCATTTCCTTTGCTCTGAGACAGACTTCAGTGCCGATAAGGCACTAACTAGTTAACAGAAAATCACCAGACGATCCCTTTAACTGAATCGCAGGCAGAAAAACAGCTTCCCTCAGACGGAGCGCTCGTTCACAGGCTGAGTAATGCAGAAAAATCCCCCCATGGTTGAACATGAGAGAGCAGGCCCAGAGGGGAGAAGCAGAGAGGAAAAACAAGCACCTCCCCGTCCTCGTAAACTCTACAAGTGCTCTCCATAAAAGTAGAATTGTGTCTGTGAGCCTCCTGTTTTCCTCTTTATGACTCGTTAATTCAGGTGTGAGTGCGGTTAGGAGGCATAATTTTTTTTCCATATATTACAGAGTGGCGGGATGTGTGTGAAAGTCTGTATTCTATAAGTACAGGCTTTGCGCTGTCACGGTCTCTTATTAGAGCCAACTTTCTCAGAGCTGAATGGATCATGGATTTTGCAAACAATGGGACAAGAAAAATCAGTTTTGTCGTCTGCCCTTACCTGCCAGCGGATCAGCACCGACGTTGTTGTGTGCGGCGTGACAGAGAGGATTGTCGGCGCTTCGTCTGGCGCTGAGGCAATGAAAGTGAGATAGATTAGCTAAATCGACTCGAAAATGTGCACCATTCAGCCGGCTAAGTCTGTCCATGAGCTGTGGCATTCAGGGAGCACAAACACACAAACAGAAGAAGCTGAGTTATAAATGGCAGTGGGAGAAGATCGGGAGAAATATGTTCCTTCAGARGGTTAAAGCAACGTTTGGAATGTGTTTCTTTTAGTGAGGTTTTCAAATGGCCATCGCAGATGGTGCATGTATTAATCAACTGCTGCTTTTGCTAGCAGCGTGCACATCATAACAATGAAATAACATCATGCACACAATAAACCCGTTGACACAACATCACGCTGTTTATGAGGATTCTACTACTCTAACAGTTCCTGTGAAATGCAAATCCTTCAAATACAAAGAGTAAAAGAAAACACCTTTTTATTTAAGAAACTTAGCATAAAATCACCATGTTACACATTTTGCCACATAATTGGCAAATTTTCTTTTGAACTTGGCCTATTAAGTGAAACAGGAAATGAAAAAAGGGTAACTCTTTAGGAAAAGAAACTCCATGGTTAGAGTAATAATTACATTAATGCAACACAACCAGCTAAAGAAATCCTACACCAGCCAACAAACAGTCTTGATAAAACAATAACATATTAATTTGAAAACCAAAAAAAAAAAAGGAAATACAATATGAATGGCATTTAGAATTGCTCTTTGTTGTTGTGCCTTTAGATTTTCAGAATCAGAAGTGTTTTATTGTCATTCACACACAACATCAAGATGCAGGCAGAACGAAATGCAGTTTAGAACATCTGTCCGGAGAAAAACACACACATGACAAACATGGGGGGAACGAATGTCCAGGGTCCTTCGCAACTTAGTACGCTACCTTTGCAGTTTAGAATGCACACACAATAGGAAGGGTGAGTTAAAAAAAGAGCTTTGATCCTGTGTTTTATGCAGAAAGCACACAAACATACGCTCAAAAAAACTACTCTGCAAAACAGTGCAATTTTGAGAATAGATATAATATTAATTCTTACCATCCTGTAGAGTTGTAATTGCTTCACTCTCTTCACTGTACTCACTGTCCCCGATGTCATTGGTTGCTTTGATTCTAAACTGGTAGGATGTGAAGGGCTTTAACCTTAAAGACAGAAGCACAGAAAAGTCCATCAGTCTTAATGAGAAATCATAGAACTGTTTCTTAAAGCGGACATGCCATGCAAAATAAACTTATTTTTTCTGTTAAATACATTTTGTTGTGTTCTTGGAGTGTCTAGGAGGCAGAAAAGTTTAATTTAGTCTCTTCCTGTACTGTTTAGATATCTTTATATTCTGTTTGGGTCATATTTCAACCAGTTCAGTTTGATCTATTTTCGTTAAGTCAGTATTTGTGACAGAACTTCTACATAAGGTATAAACATACCAACTACAGACAAGTCTTAACTTGTTGACATCTTTTAATTCATTTGTAAATAAAAACGTTTCTGCGCAGCTATATAGTCGTAAACCCCTCTATCAAACTGGAATGGAGCGCTCTGGAAGCTGGAGGGGGGCGGGGTCTGAAGCGCCATGTTTGGATTTAAAGAAACAGCCTCAAAATGAGTTGATCTGAGACGCACCTCAGAAAAGGGGTAAAAGAAGTGCTTGTGGAGCTACAGTAATGACGAATTCAGACCAAAGTGTTGCAGTTTCACTTTATATAGACCCTAACTGAAGGATTTAAATGTGAAAAAGAAGGATTTAAAGGGGCAATATAATGTAAAATCAACTTTTTTGAGTTTTATATCATGTTATAATGTTCTACTCTCATAAAAAACATGCCCAAAGCCTTGCTTTGACTCATTCATGCACGTTTGAGAAATCCTGCAGCGATTTTAGGAAGCCATGCTGAGGAGCAAAACCACAGGTGGGGACCAGAAATGACTTTGGGGACCAGAAACGCCTCTGGGACGTGTCTTTAAGCCGAGCTTCCTCATGGGGAGCACCCCCACCCCCTCCTCCCCACACACCCCTCCCATGACTCCTGCAGGCTCTCGGGTGAAACTGAAAGTGAAACTGAAACTGTCTGCTGAGCTCTCAGCATTAGTTCTCACTCAGTGAAACTCTTTTCAGATTAAAAATACCTTTGAGAAAATGTATTTTCAGATGCCAAGTAAACTGCATCATGGGCGAGACGGAAGCAGAAGGAGGTTCTTAAAGAGACAGAGGCCAATTTCAAGGCGTTTAGAAGAGGAAGTGATGAGAAGATAACTTTATTTTCTATTTAAAAATAAAAACAGCATTTTAATAACAGCTAAAGATGACATGGATACTTTATTATGGTATAGTATTTAAATGTATACCTGAGAAACACATAATATTGCCCCTTTAAAAGCATATGTCTCCTATTAAACATTTCACATCCAAATGGTGAATCAACAGGAAAATTAAAATGAGTATAAATTCACAGCTGCCTTTAATCAGAAYTCAGTATTAAAGAAGTAAACTCTACCTGGACACAATGTAGGACGTGGCCTCGTGGTTAACAGAGGCAGAGTGCACAGTCCAGTTGTTGTCGGGCAGCTCTCTCAGCTGCACCGTGTAGTAACGCACAGGGGACAGGCCATCGCTGCCCGGCTCCCATGAAAGCAACACCTGGCGGGCCTGAACGTCTTTCTGAGGAACRGTGGGGCGGCTGGTGGGCTGGGGACGAGCTGGAACAAGCAGAAGTACAAGGAGTGAGGCAAAGAAGAAGAATTGAGTCGTCGAAAATTTGGATGGGAAACATTTGAGATGATTAGAAAAGATGTATGAAGGACGACTGGCCGGGTGAGGAAATGAGTTTTGGAAAGTTTGCTCCCATTTGCATGGGGTAAGTATGATTCTGGTGATGGAAGGAGAACTAGATGAGAGACGAAATGTGCAGAARAAACAATCAACCACATGCCTTGAGGGATGCAGATAAAGAGATGTGTTGTCACAACCGCATCACAGTGCACAGACCCTCCTTTAGGAAACACATCTGCTTTGTCAAGTGCTGATTGGAAATTAACTCCTGAAAGTTCAAGGATGGCTTTGTGCAGCGCTCAACAAGTCGTGACGCACATCTGTGCCTCTTTCACTGGCAGAACCGTTTCCATACATCTCTGCTAATGAGCGCCAAATTACGCTGCTATCAAAATAAATCAGCCAATCAAGTCTGATTAAGAAAATCATCTTTCGCAAACAGAAATCTGATAGTTTATTATGAAATCCCACAGCGGCGTACCTCGTTTCTCCGTGGTGACCACCAGAGCCTCGGCTGCTTCGCCCCAGCCCTTCCTCGTCTGTGCGGTGATACGAAACACGTAGACGGACTCTGGCTTCAGGTTGATCACGTTGTACTGACGAGCGCTGGGGTTCAGAACATCCACGGTGGCGCCGTTGCTGTTGGTGGAGTTCAGGTGGTACGTGATCTGGTAAGCTGGAGAGGAAGAGGAAACAAAACAACGGGTCACTGAAGGAGGAATACACTTTAGTTTTAGTTATGAAAAGAGGAAATGGGTGGCCTGACAAACTGTGTCCAAAATTTAGATGTCCTTCGAAGGACGCAGCCTACACGGTCTACACGGGTCAGGTCCTTTGTGGACCGCGAAGACACGAAGAAAACAGCTGTGAATTTGGACGCTCAGGGTTATTCACTACTTTACCTCGGTGTATGTCCTGTCTTATTTAAAACTGTATTCCTGTCTCTTGCTTCATTCACCATTACAAGCAAAAAATAAAAAAAATAAAAGAATCTCCCGGTCGGCCAGCAGCGTGTCTTGGGATAGGGTGGGCTAAGAGGCTTACACCTGACTTGTCCCTCAAATCAGGAGAAAAGGAGAACGCTTTTTTGGGGTGCAATTGGAGAAACCTTCGAATATGGACAGCCTTCGGAGCATTGCTGTGACAGAATTGACCTACATAATTCAGCCTTTGAAGGAGGCAGACCCCTGATTTAAAAAATAATAAAAAAATAAATAAAAAGAAAAACATGTTCAGACTTTGACAGGATTACCACTGAATGAAAAATGAACTAGATTTAAATGAAATATAAGAGAATTATTTAAACTGAAATAAATCTTAAAATATTTGTCTATGATTCAAATACAAATATAGATTTCGTAATAAAACATAGTGAACTCATAATCATAATGATCAATTTAGTTAAATTGAAAAATAAATCAGAAAAACCATAATCACCTTTACTGTCAAATAATAGTTGATTAAACAAAGGTTTGTGTAAAACTACGGAGCCCGCGAGGGGACATGGGGGAATTTTTTTTCTTTTGCGTTCCTACGCAATACTATTGCGTTACCTCGCAATACTTTTGCGTTATCTTGCAATATCTTTGCGTTACCTCGCAATATCTTTGCGTTACCTCGCAATAACTTTGCGTTCTCTCGCAATATTGTTTTGCGTTCCCACGCAAACGTTTGTTTTGAACATGAACTGAATTAAATCAGACTTTTATTTTGAAATARCCGGTTACCAAAGCAGGATGTGTCGRCACAGTTTGTGAAATTGACATTGAWGTTGCGTGGCTGCACTGTGTTAAAATATCGACATATACTTCCATGCGTAGTTGTGTGYTATATTTATTCTWAAGCTGAATTAAAGCAGTAGGCTAACTCGCTAATGGTGAACATGTGAAGTTGTTGTTAAACCGGCAGGCAGAACAGTGTTTAACGACTTTCGCGAGGGAACGCAATAGTGTTGCGCAGGAACCCAAAAGAAGAAAAATCTCCCATGTCCCCTCACGGGCTCTGTATAAAACAAATAAAGAAACATTGGAACAATGAAAAAAAAAAAAGGAGGCAGACCCTGAATTTGGACACAGCCACAGTATCACAAGTTAATTCCATTTTTATTGCTTAGCAATGTTATAAATTAGTTKAATTTTAAATCCACCACTGAACAGGCTCATCTATGAGACATCCATTATGATTGAAGTCATCAGGAGCTACATCTGTGTGCCTGATGCCATGTTGCATTCAGAGTAATATGCTGCTTTTCTAGACTAAATTATAGTTTTTTTTTCTTACCCAGACATGGAACTCAAACAGCGTATTTCCAAACAGGAAAGAGTTGTGTGTGGTACTAACCAAGTATGATGCCATTGGGTTGGGCAGGTGACTGCCAAATAAGTCGAACAGAGGTGGTTCGCACTTCAGGGAACAGGATCCCCACAGGAGGTCCTGGCACTGCAGCAAAGCAGCAGAACCAGATTTATAGATCCCAGATTTCCAGACCTTTTCATACTAAACAAAAACAGTATATCCCAAACACAAAAGCCCACCATCATCCAAAGTCCTCTCCAGGATGGGCGGAGAGCTGGGCCGTCCATCTCCGATCCTTGTGAAAGCCACAACCTGGATCTCGTACAGAACGTACTTCCCCAAACCAGTCAGCTGGACACTGTGGGAGGCGTTCCCTTCCACCGTCCAGAAGTGGACCGCAGTGTCAGCGTCCTTCTCTTTGTACACCACCTGATGCGGTCAGGAGACGAACAATACAAACTGCTTTTGTGCGGCTCAAATAGGCTGACATTCCCACAAAAATTCAGTAAATAAAGAGTGAACAGCTGCCAAACATAAAAAAAGCACAAAAAAACCTTGTAGCCGAGAATGAGACCGTTCCTGTCTGGCTCAGGAACTTCAAACCAGCGCACCAGGATGCTGCTGGAGGTAGTGGCAAAGGCAGACACGTTGATGGGTCCACTCGAGGGGACTGGGAAGAGTACAGAAGGACAAAATATTAGATTTAAACTTCAAATGTAACTTTTTAGAATGCATATTTATTATGTAGCAGTTTGAGCGATGTATCTATGCTTCAGGTCAAAAAACAGAAACTACTCAACAGAGTTTTTCTTCTCCACCTTAGCAGCAATCTGCCTGATTTCTTAGAATTTACCAGAGTTTGGGGAGAGGAAAAAAAAAGAGACACAGGCATTTCAAATTTAAGTCCATGTGTTCTCAATTTCCTCAGACTCGTTTCATTCCTCTCTACCCAGCGTCTGCTGAGCCGTGTGAGAGCAGATGTGAGGAAGGAAAAGCCTGAACTGAAGTGTGCKGAGTACATGAGAATCTGCGTCTGTCTGCTAATGAATCCAACATATGGGCAAGTGTGAAGTGCAGGTTCATCATTTGTCACGCCTCTAATATGGCAGCTAAAGAAGATTTTCTGCGCAGAAGATGGATGCTCAGTTAAAATCCTCAGTGTGTACATGATGTGACACAGCAGTCCAACATGTGAGGTTGGTTTGCTGATTCAGCATTCACTCTATTGTTTCCTGGTTTTTTTTTTACTTTTCTGTATGATTTTTGCAAACAGCTTCCTTGTTTGTAACKGCTGCATACTTTCCGGTGTTTTAGTGATTCACTGTAACGAAACAGAGGTCATTCAGCAGAAAGGCACTAAAGCATTTGCAATTTTTTTACGTTAATTTCTTTTTAACATTACAACAAGACAATAGGACTGCAGGATATCAAGAAAACCTGCTATGTGTGATAACAGTGCTTAGTATTGCGATGACTATGTGACTTGCGATAAATCAAAAAATACTTAAATATTCAGTGTTAAAGTTTGTCTGCTCTGGGTTCAGAGCAAAAAACAACCACATAATTTCCATTACAACGTGATGGAGTGATTATGGCTTGATGTTGTTTCTCTAGTCCGTTTTATTAATCAGACTAAAGGGCTCGACACACGGGAGGCGACGTCGCTCGCTCTCCATTCATTTCCTATGGAGCCTGTGCGGTGA